TTTGCATTTTGAATCATATCAAAAAGGGCAGACGAATGTTGCACAATATTGACGACATTAACGGTGATTTTTGGTGATTATTTTGGTGGAGACAAAACTTTAGTGGTCAAATGTAACCAGGCCAAATTTGACTTCTACTATTCTTACTAATAACAAAAAAAACAAAAAAAATAATTAGTTGTTTTCTTCTGTTTGAAAGCAGCAAAACTGTTTAATGACAAACTTGAGAAATCTTTTTAAGAAAGTCACTTTCTCTCGCTGGACTTCGCCAAGACAAGCGAAAAACTAAGGAGGGAAAAAAGAGAGGTAAATAAGGTAAAAATCAAATAAACAAAGAAATGAAAAAAAACAAATATACAAAGAAGGATGTAAACAAATTTAAAAATTTTTTATTTACTTCAGCTCTTTTGTTTTCGTTTTTTGGTTATTTCCGGAGACTAATTGCACACAGTCAACAAATAACGCGTGAAAAAAGCGATCACTGAAGGATCAAGTGAGATTCAGCTACGAGAAAAGCACTGAAGCTTCTAGAACCACGTTGGCTTTTTGATTTTTCTTTCTTTGTTTAGTTCCGTTTTTCTTTTTTTTTTTTCTGTCTTCATTTTTTTTCTTCTTATTTCCCAATTTTATTTCAACATTTCAAAGAAAAAACCCAGAAATCTTAGGGTAAAAAAAGCCATACAATTCTCTTTTTCTCCGATGTCATCTGTTTGAATTTTCCCATACTGCTGCTAATGACGTTTACGGAGACAATGATAATATTTTTTCTCCATCTTTTTTATCTTCTGCAGCAAAGCGGGATAACGGTAAAAAGGTCACAAACAAAAACTTGTAAAATCAAGATGCAAAAAATGGTCACTGATCATCAATGAGGTGTTCAATTCAGTTGTAAAATAGTCTTTATCTTTCAGTTTTGAAAAGAAAAAAAAAACAACTCAAAACTGCAGTTATTCAAAGCGAATTCCGAAAAGTGGGCGACAACGTTGGGGCTAGTTATATTACAAAAAGTTGCAATGCCTTAATACCGGAGAGCTACAGTAGCTTTTAGAAGCTCACCACAGGCAGAAGGTGCATTGCTGTAGAGCAATCCATGCAATTTATTCAACCATAAGCTACCCAACCTATAACATTTAACAAATGTCAAAAGCAGAAAAATAGCTTCATACTGCCAACGTATGTTTGGTAAGTCTTTTTTCTTTTTGGCAAAAAGGTAATGAAATTAAGCAAATCTTAATGTGGAAAGGCGTAATTTAAAAAAAGAGACAGGTCCGACGGGGAGAAAGATGAAGAAAATAATTCTTTCCAAATTTCATAAACATTTTTATACTCAAAAGAAGAAGAGGTTCTAATCACTTTACGGCAAATCTGCCTACTATATTTTCAGTATTGGTCTTTAATCGAAACACACAGTTTACTAAACTGATTATTAAGTGTATCTGAAATGTCCAGAATCTTCATGAAAAATGCCATTACACAACGCCCATTTTATTTCAACAAATTATCTTCTTTTTTTTAAATACATTAGGGAAATGTATGGTTAACACCACCAAAACTGTCTGAGATTAGTGCTAAATGAGGCTTCCCGTTAACCACAAGTGATGCTACAAGAGAACATAAGATGAACTATGCATTCAAACCATTTATTTTCGAATCTTCATTCTTCTTTAGATCCCTCCTGTCCAAAACCTTGTTACTGAACAATTCCGTGCATCCTTAATCCATTTATTCTGTCAAAGAAGCTCTAAAGTGTTAGTTACCTAGCATAAGAATCAACTGCTTATAGACAGCTTAGAGGATAAATACGGATGTTGTCTTCTTGCTAGATGATGCGGCCCAAACATTTCAAAAATGCCAAAAGTCCCTCCAAACCTATTCTTTTTCTCCCACTGAACACTCCAACAATGCTTTGAGATCTACTCGAAAAAGATCACTTTTTTCCTTCTTCAATCACCAAACTTCTGCCTAAACTTTCTGTCATCTTTGAGCACTCATAGCATATTTTAAATTTCCATTTCACATTCAATCACTACAGTTGATTCAAATAATTCAGAATAAAAATCACTGCACGACACTAAGCTTCTCAGCTTATTCCAAAACTGAAAACTGCGAAATGACAAACGAAAGCAACGCTCACTCAGTGCAGATTTTTTATGTGAGCAATACGTGAAGATTTTTTTTTTT